TAATATAGGGAGAGAAAGAGTCCCCCAAAGGTAGAAGGGGGAGCATAAAACAGCAAAACAGCACCAGCAAAAAAAAACCCACAACAACAACAAAACAAAACTTGATTGAATACTATAGACTATAATCACAGAAAAGGTAGAGGAGGGAGAGAAGAAAAACAAAATAAAATTTAAAAAAAAGAAATAAAATTCTGTAGCCTAATATGAGTATGACTTTAATGTCCTCTATTATGCTTCTTGTTTTCAAAGCTGCCTGAGTGATTTCAAGATGCCACTGTTGATTTTTATGCTATACCTCAGGCTTTAATTTAATTTTTGGCCTGTTTTGTTTTCAAACTCTCTTTCACTCTACAGCCTGTCCTGGCCTTTCCCGTATTTAAAAAAACAAACAAAAAACAACAACATTCAGGGCCTGGTCTTGGGCTGAGAGTATCTGTGCACCTGTGTGACAGAAGAACCCACCAGTGGTGAGGGTGGGGGGTGTCCACTCGCTCAGGCACCCCCTCTAATCACCAGAATAGAGGTGTGCAAACACTGGGGGAGGGTGCCAATGACCAGATACCAAAAAAAAAAAAAAAAATCAGAACAAAGTAAAACCGACAAAGTGTATTGTCCACCTTTGTTCCAAGGTTCCCGCATCACTTTTCTGTGGTGTTTCTGCTCCCCTGCTTGGTCTTGCCCTTTGGTCTCTCCCAAGATGTCGGCTCCGGTCCTCCAAGCTGGGTAGATTCAAAAGTATGCAATTTCCTACTTCACCTTCAAGTTCCACCAGCTATAAGCCTTCAAACTTTTAAAATATTCCTCTCTGTGGTTCTGAGTTTTGGAGCTCTGCCCTAGATCTGTTTTGCCTGGTATTCCATGGTATGGATGGCGGCGAACTTCACTGCCCCTCCACCCTAGTGGCCATCAAGCCCCGCCTCTGCATATTTCATTTTAATACTTTACTTTGTCTTCTTTAACTACCTTTGAAATTTTCTGTTCAGTTGTTTTACTTCCTGATTTTTTCCAGTCACTTTAGCTTTTCTATATTCAAGAGCAAATTTCAGAGTTTCCTTTCACATCCATTCTGTCCTTTTTGATTTCCTGTCTTTTTAACAACCTTTTGTTTTCTTCCTGATGCCCTACAACTCTTCTGGTCTTCTTTCATTATTGTCTAGTACATCAAATTTGTTCATGAGACAGTCTCTATATTCATAGGGGATGTATATATTTAAGGTCATATTTTGACTCTTGCAGATTTGATTAAATTTTCTTCATTTCCACAGTCTGTCCCTGGCCTTATTGTGACTGAAGACGGTGAGCTTCTCCACCATCTCTTCTCACATGTGTAGTTAATTTGATTCCTATGTATTCCATCTAGTGAAGTTCATGTGTAGTTTCCTTTCATGTTATTTTTAAAAGGTATTTGCAATGAATATGTCATTAGTCTTGCAAACTTCCATTGTGAGATCTACAACATAATTTCTATCACAAGGTTATATTTGCCAACTATAGCTCCTTCCTCTTTGTTTCTATCTTTCCAATTCCAATATTCAGCAATCCAATGTTCATTGAATCTTGATTGCATGTTGGATCAGTTTCAGATTGAAGAAGTCGGTGTTGTTATTGTTAAAGGCTGTCCAGACAGTTCTGACTCCTAGTGGTCTTGTATAGGGTTTCCAAGGAGTGGTTGGTGGGTTTGAACTGCCAGCCTCATGGTCAGCAGTCAAGTGCTTATCCTACAGTGCCACACCAGAAGTTGACAGAATTCTTCAATTTACTGGGTTTAATGGTTGGTACATAAATTTGAATAACAGTGGTATTAACTGATCTTCCTTGTTGTTGTTAAGTGACCTCCAGTAGATTCTGACTCATAGCAACCCTGTATATGGTTTCCAAGGAGTGACTGATGAACTGAATGCACAACCTTGATGTGAGCTGTCCAGTGCTCGTCTTGCAGCACTACACCAGGACTCTTCCTTGTAGGCTTATGAATTTTATCCTATCACAGACAGTGTTGTACTTCAACATTGATCTTAAAATGTTCAATTTGACAACGAATGACATGCCATTCCTCTGCAATTTGGTATTAACAGTATAGTAAACCACAAGAGTGTCCAAATAAGAATGGCCAATAACAGTCCATTTCAGTTCAGTAATTATTAGGATATTGATGTTTATGTGCTCTATTTCAATTTTGACAATTTCTAATTTTCCTAGATTCATGTTCCTATTATTCATGGATGTTTGCAGCCATTTCTTCTCATTTTGAATTGTGTCTCATAAACAAATTAAAGTCTTGAAAACTTTACTACATTTATGTCATTATGGTCAACTATACTTCGAGGAGGCAGCTCTTCCTCAGTCATATTTTGATCCCTTCTAACTTGAAAGGCTCATCTTCCAGCACTGTATCTGACAATGTTCATCACCATTTATAAGGTTTTCAGTGACTAATGCACTGAATCACAAGGTCAGTGGTTCAAAACCACCAGCTACTCCTCAGCAACACTATACAGGGTCCCTGTTGGTCGGAACTGATTTGATAGTACTTAACAATAACCATTAAGAAGTAGTCTGCTTCTGCTTCTTCCTATCTGTCTTCGTCTGGAAGTAATACTGAAACCTGTCCACCATGGGGGACCCCGCTGATATTTAAAATACCAGTGTCATAGCTTCCAGCATCACAGCAACACATAACCTCTAGTGTATTTTTCTCAATTTTCAATTGTTTTGAAACTTCTAGAGGATCCTGATTATTTTATTATGCTATTAGCTCTCTTTCTTCTTTCCCATTGCTTCTTTGGATTTATTTCAGTATTTTTCCTATCTTTGCAGTAGAACATTTTGGGGAGTATAAGTAAATATGTATTTTCAGGTGGCCATTTGGGCCAGAAACTAATTTTCTAAACATTTCCAATTTTTGCAGGACATACCAAAATAAAGTAAATCTAGTCATAACTATTTCTTCTGATTGCTACTGTACAGTCTAAGTTTCAAGTTTCCTTTAATTTGGGGGAGGGGGGAGAAGTGTTTTGAAGGCATTTGGAAAGTGATGTATATATTGGTATTATTGTTGTTGTTGTTAGGTGCCATTGAGTTGGGACTGACTCATGCACAGCAGAACAAAACACTGCCCGATCCTGGGCCAACCTCACTATTGTTGCCATGCTTGAGTCCATCAATGCTTCCACTTGGCCAATCCATCTCACAGGGGGTCTTCCTCTTTTTCTCTGACCCTCCACCTTACCAAATATGATATCCTTCTCCGGCAACTGGTCCCTCCTGACAATATGTCCAAAAGTATGAGAGCCTGTTTAGTTTGGAGAGAAAAATAACATGTAAGCATCAGGCTAGCATTGAAAGACACATACGTCTTTCTGCTATTCAGCAACATTTTTGTGTGTGTGTGTTTTATTTCTGATTACTACAAAACAATCTGTCTCTTTGAAAGAATGTGATATTAATGTTGTTTTAGCTAAATACAAGCCAGCTGTTTTGACTTCCACATATATAATAGCTGTTATTTTACTCAACTCTCCTCTGATACATCCAGTGATGTTTATTGCAAACCAAGTGAAGTTCAAGAAAGTCTATCAGCTGGAATATAAGAAAACTGAGTTCCAGACACTGTGTTGAAGGTCACTAATAATTGAAAACTCATACACATTCTAAAGCCCTCAGTTCTCATTCCTCTTATTTAAAAAGACTCTCTTTATAAGGATCATATAAAGGTTTCTTTAAAAATATGAAAGACCTGGAATTGTATGCTGAAGTTATTTTTTGAGTCTCATAAAAGATTGTCAACTCCTCACAATGAATCGCTATTAACACTCTTATGACTCATTTTGCTATATTAACCCCTTTGTCACAGTACATGATCTTTGACATGTACTGATGAAAAAGAGGTTAATAGCAATTAAATATACATGATCTATGACATGTACTGTTTAAAAGGGGTTAATGGCAATAAAATGCATAATAATAAAATCTATATGTTAAAAACCTCACAACTGTACCATTAAGCAACATCATGATAAATGGTGAAAATAATGAAATTGTCAAGGTTTCATTTTTCTTGGATCTACAACCAGTGTCCCTGGAAGTAGCAGTTCAAAAATCAATGTATTGTATTTGTAAATCTGCTTCATAAGCCCTCTTGAAACTGTTCAAAAGCAAAGAGGTCACTTGGAGGACTCAAGCGTAACAGTAATTGTGATGATGGTACAATACCAGGAAGCATTTTGTTGTATTGCATAGAGTGTCACTATGAGTCGGAATCAACTCAACAGCACCTACCAATAACAACAACATACTCAATGCTAGTACTTACATTAGGAGCATAAATCCAAAAATATGACTTCAAAAATCATAGAGACCTTTATTAATCAATTATATCAAAATTTGAAGCTATTTTTTCTCATCATATCTTCTATCTAGGTCTATTGTTATTGTTGTTAAGTGCTGTGGCGTCAGTACCCATTCATAGAATATAGGGTTTCTAGGGAGTGGCTGGTGAGCTTGAACCACAGACCTTGTGGTTCAAACTGATTTTGCAGTCCAGCTTATTAACCCACAGCGCCACACCAGGACTCTCTATAGGTCTGTACACTTCTAAAAGTGTTGTTTCTATCCTTCTAAGTCTTCCTCAAAGAGTTCTGCACTCCTCAGCTTATACCATGTTACAGTAGCAGTTTTGGCATCCTCAACGAACACAAATCTTTTTTTTGTTGTTGTTTTAAATTTTCTTTGAGTTAAAGAGGGGAAAAGAAATCTGAAGGGCAAGATTAGGGCTGTAGGGTGAATGGGATAAGATTCCTAACAAAATTCTCATATTTTGCTACTCTCAAAGAATGGACATATTCATTGTTATGATGGAAAAAGAAATTTCTTGGTATAACTCTACTGACTTTTTGCTTACTAATGAAGTTTCCAATTTTCTTCCTAATAAACCCTTGTGATCACCCTGTGTCTTTCAAGAAAATCTATCAACATTTTCCCTTTGTTTTTTCTGTTATTAGGTGTACATCATTGGAGAATCTGGGCTCAACATTCTGGTGTGGTCAGTGATTGGAAATAAGAGAACTGGATGGTTATATGGATACATACCTCTCTCCAGCAACAGCCCATTTAAGGTAGCATTTGAAGCTGATTTGGGAGGAGGTGAAAACATTTTTATTGCCCTTGATGACATCTCTTTCACCCCAGAGTGTGAATATGGAGGTAAGTTATTCCTTCAGAAAATAAAAGCAAGTACTCCTTTAATATCTTAATAGGAAAGAATTGGGACTATCTTAAAACTGTCATTTTTTCCCAAGTCCAGTGCTGGAAACTGAAGAGCAGAGTATACTGTAGTGAGTAAGAGAGAGGCGGGCCCTCTTGCTTATGAAACTTTACCTTGAAATTCTCATGTTTTCTAGGCATTACAATTCTTTCAGAAACCCTGAGAAAAATTCATTCCACTGCTTTATATTTATTAACTACTTTATTTCCAGAGGCTCACAGTAACTTACTAAGACTCCTCTGCCTACCTACAATCTTCCAGTCTTCTTCATCTGTGCTAGTCTCCCTTCTTTCCTGAGCCATTTTCCTGTTTTAACTGGTCCTTCTCAGTCTTTGGCAGTAATCATTATATTGAAAAAAAAAAATGTGTGATTTTGCCATCAACGCTTTTTCTAGAAAATCTTCTCCTTAAATAAAATTTGGGGTTTTTTCCAGATTAAGACACAACCACTTAAATGATTATTATTTTCTTTAAAATGTTAAATATTCGTTGTTAAATGGTAGGATGGAAGACTGTATTTATAGCTTTTCTATGACTCTTTCACTACTTTGTTCTTCTAGATACCGTTTCCAGTCTTGTTATTTTATATACTTCCAAATGTTTCTTCTTTGTTTGTTGTTGTTTAATAAAGGTTTCTGTGATTTTGTAGCTTACTTTCTTTATTTTAAATTGTGAGTTGACTGAAGGTTTTTGATCATCAGTTGTTTCATCTCAGTGATTGCAGTCCTCTGTAAATTGCAACATTTATCCCACTTCCTTCCTGTGACTCCTATTTCCATTCCACTAATCTTCCCACCTCTTTTCAACTTTCATCTGAGACAAAAGATTTCCTTTTTGATTTTCAAGGATTGAGCATTCCAAGCATATCCTGCTTGGCTGAATATTGGGCCATGAGGGTGAGTTCCTTTCCAGACCTGAAGGATGGTTGAGGGCCATAGTTTCAGGTTCCTCCAATAAGTCTGGTCTTTTTTGAAAAGTAATTTTGAGTTTTGTTCCATATTTTCCTCTATTCTATCTGGAAACTTTTAATGGAATCCCTTTCAGAGAAATTGGTAGTAGTAGCCGGGCACTATCTAGTTCTTCTGATCTCAGAGTGTGGACACTGAAGTTCTCACATTCAGTTAGTCTGTTGGACTAATTAACCTCAAACATCTTCAGTTCTCATTGCTCTTGTTTCTTCTGCATATCGAGAGTCCTATAACTACACGGTAGATGACCACTCATGAACTTTTCAGATCCCAGATGCTATTCACCACAGTAGGATGTAGTACATTGTCCTTGTGGACTATGTTATGCCAATTGACCATAGTGTCCCCTGACACTAGGGTCCTGAGCCCTCAGTCTCAGTAGCTCACTGCCTTGAGTTGCTTGATAATATCTAATAAATTTTCATCACTTTGCCCACTTTATGCTTCACCACATTAATAGTTGTGTTGGCAGGAAAGGAATACCCCTGTATATATATCCACTTTCAAACTCTTATGTATTTATGGTGTACTCCCATTCTTCCTCCCATAGCCATTCAGCCTGTGTTTCTGTCCATGTATCAATTTGCAGAGCACTGTTTCTCCAGGCTTGTTTATATATCACTATTTACCTTTATCCCATTTAGCCCTTGCATACCTCCTTGTATCATCACATATCTTCATCATTTTTTGTGAACCTCCCTCCTTGTAAATTGCCCTCCCAGTCACCCAAGTTAAAATTTGTCTACCCTCAAGCCTGGTAGCATAGTGATTATGAACCGGGCTGCGGACCGCAAGGTCAGCAGTTCAAAACTACTAGCTGCTCCGCAGGAGAAAGATGAGGCTTTCTGCTCCCATAAAGGTTTACAGCCTTGGAAACCCTGTACAGGGTCTCTGTTAGTCGGAACGGACTCCATGGCACATAAAAACAACAACCCTCAAGCCAGTGAATTACTCTTCTTTCCCTCCCACCCTTGATAACCATTAAAGAATGTTACGTTTAGTATGAAAACCTTTTCTTGAAGTTTCATAATAGTGGTCTTATACAATAGTTATCATTTTGTGATTGACTAATTTCACACAGTATAATGAGCTGTGTCTGGTGTGGTGCTGTGGGTTAATGCACCAGACTGCAAAGCCATTTGAACTGCATGGTCAGTGGTTGAAACTCACCAGCTGCTCCTCAGAAACCATATACAGGGTCACTATGGGTCAGAATCAACTCGACAGCACTTAACAACAACAATGTCCTCCAGGTTCATCCATGTTATGAGGTGTTTTGTAGATTGATCATTATTCTTTAACCTTGCATAATATTTCATTGTGTTTATGAACCATTGTTTATCCATTCTTCCATTGATGGGGTTTTAAGCTTTTTGCTATTGTGACCAGTACTGCAGTAAACATCAGTGTGTATATATCTACTTATGTACTGGTTCTTATTTCTTATGGATAAATATCAAGTAGAGGAATTATTTAGCCATATGGTATTCGTATTTCCAACTTTCTGAGGACGCATCATACCATTTTCTACAGTGGTTGAACCATTTTACAGATTTGCTGGCAATGTAGGAGGGTCCTAGACTCTACATTTTTGCCAGCATTTGTTACTTTATGTTTTTTTGAACTTTGCTGTTAATGCTGGTGTGAGAAGATATCTTATTATTGCTTTTATTTGCATCTGTCTAATTGCTAATAAGGAGTCCTGATGTTGTGCTGTGGGTTGATGCGTGGGACTTCAAAGTCAGCGTGAACCTCAAGGTTGGTGGCTCAAGCTCATCAGCTGATCCTCTGAAATTCTTTGCCAGTTTGTTATTGTTAAGGGCCGTCAAGTTTTTTCCAACTCATAATAACCCTGTATACGCTTTCTGAGGAGCAGCTGGAAGGTTTGAACTGCTAATCTTGTGGCTCACAGTCCAGTGCTGATCCTACAGTGCCACACCAATTTGGATGCCTTTAATTTCCCTTCTTTGCCTTATACCTATGTCTAAGACTTCCAACACAATACTGAAAAGGGGCATCCTTGTCCATTTACTGTTCACAAAGGGAATACTTTTAGTTTCTCTCCATTGAGAATAATGTCGGCTGTTGGATTTGTATGTTGTTGTTATTAAGTACTCTTGAGTAGGTTTCAATTTACAGTAACTGTATATATAGCATTTCCAAGGAACCGCTGGTGGGTTTGAGCCACCAACCTTGTGGGTATCAGTCCAATGCTTAACTTACAGTGCCACACAAGGACTACGTATATACTCTTAGTTATGTGGAGGAATTTTACTGCTATTACTACTCTGCTGAAGGAGCTCTGGTAGCGTAGTGGTTACGAATCAGGCTGCGAACCTTAAGGTCAGCAGTTCGAAACTACCAGCCGCTCTGCGGGAGAAAGATGAGGCTTTCTACTCCCGTAAAGATTTACACCCTCGGAAACCCTGTATAGGTTCGCTATGGGTCGGAACCGACTCGATGGCACTTAACAACAACAACAACTACTCTGTTGAGTGTTTTTTTAAGAAATGGATGTTGGATTTTGTCAAATGCCTTTTCTGCATCAATCAACAGAATCATGTGTTTTTTTTCCCTTTGTTTTATATATAGGGTGTATTATGCTCATTGTTTTTCTAATATTGAACCCTCCTTCTGTCCTGGTATGAATCCCACTAAGTCATGATGTATTTTTTTTTAATATGCTATTGAATTCTATTGGATAGAATTTTTTTGTGAATTTTTACATTTATGTTCATGAGAGATATTGCATTATAATTTTCTTTTTAATAATGTCTTTGCCGGGTTTATGCTTGCTTCATAAAATGTATTCAGAAGTTTTGATCCTTTTCTGTATTGTGCAATAGTTTGAGTAGAATTGGTGTCAGCTTTTCCTTAAATGTTTGGTTAAATTCACCATTAATGCATCTGGACTCAGACATTTTTTGTGTTTTAATTAACTAATCAATGTCTTCTTTTGTTATAGATATGTTCAGTTTTTCTACTCAAGTCTGTGTTTGTTTAGGTAGGTCATGTTTTTCTAAAAATGTGTCCATATCTTCTAGATGTTCAAATTTAATGGGGTACAATTCTTCATAGTATTCTGTTGTTATTCTTTTTATTTCCATTGGTTCTGTTGTGACCTAACCCATATCCTTTCTTTTTGTTGTATTTTGCATCCCATA